TCCTGGTTGCAAACGATTTTCCACAATCTTTACAATCGTTTTTCAAGTGCGTTTGTCGATGTCGTTGGTACGTATCGCTAGTTTGAAATACTTCTCCACATTCTGGACAAACCCGTTCCTTTATTGGCATTTTGCTTAATTTGTCATGTTTATCAATATGACGATCTTTCTCACTTTGCGTAAGGAAGAATACATTTTTATTCGCTTCCTGGCACAATTCGCAAGAAAGCATTGGAACATTTTCCTCAGGATGCTTCTCTACAAGATGCCGACAAAGGAATTTTTCCCATGAGTAAACTGCAGGACAGAAATTGCATTTTAATTCCCGCTCACATACAGTTATTTCAGTTCCCATGTCCGTCAACTGCGGCCGACCTATTTGATTTATTCCTGCTTTTTGGTGAGCGCGCATGTGAGTTTGGAGGGTGTATTTTGTTTTGAATCGCTTTTCGTCTCCACATATTTCACAACTAAACGGTCGTTCATCACTATGCTTCGCGATCTTATGAGAATGAAGGGCATTTGATTGATTGAAAGATGCGTCACATTCGTTGCATTTGAATGGTTTCTCAGCAGTATGAATGCGTTCATGTCTGTATAGCCCTGATCTTGAAGTTGCTGAAAAGGGGCACTGTTTGCATTTGTACAAAATTGCCTTCGTATGTATGTTCTCATGCAATCTCAAATGAGTTCCTCTGGAAAATGATTTGCCGCAATAGGTGCATATGAAGTTCTTTTCTAGGATTTCGACAATCCTTTCGTGTACCGTCTTTATGTGAGCTTGTAGCTTGTAGTTGGACGAAAATTCTCGTACGATATTGTTCTTTTTGCACTCTTCGCAAGGAATTCGTTTGCCTTTCCTGAAGTGGACCCTTCTCAAATGCATATTCAAATAACGTACCGTTGATACGGGTAACTGACATAAATTACATACTTGTCCCGTAGATCCAACATGTGTAGAAATATGATTATCCAGTGCCTCTGCAGTACCAAACTCTGTTGCACAAATATAGCACTTGGAATCTACTTTGTTGCCCACCTTCTTGGGAGTTGTTTTTTTACGTTGTTTGATTGGAGCTTTATATGAGTGTTCACTTTCACTTTGGGATTCAGAAGAATTCCTTTCCATCGAAGCTCTATCGTAATCAAAATTTGGTTCTACTTCAATAAACTCATACTTGTTGATAAAGTTATAATTGGAAATAGTATCGTCATCTTCAAGACTTGCGGAAACACTAGGTTCTGGATCAAGTTGCTGATTGTCCATCTGATGCAGCTCAGTGTCTTCATTCGCATGGCTTCGGCTTTGTTTTGGCACCTCCTCAACTAAATCATCTTCTTGTTTGACAATCAAGGATCTATAAACAGAAGGCAGGTTTATAACGTAAATTTCCAAGTTGAATATAGGAAGACTTACGCATAATATTGTTTAATCTCAAAATCCACTCTTCTAACCCGCTTACGGATCTTATCGACGGCGCGGATCTGATCGTTGCATCTATTGCAAACTTTCGATATGATTTCGCCATCCGAAACCTTTAGGAATACAATAAGTTTATTAAGTTAATGAGTTAACTCATCAAAAACAATGTATAATTGACAGAGTACATTAGTTTCTAAATTAGAATTACAAATTCTTACCAGTATCTGGAAACATTCAAAAATCATACGCTGTAGGTTACGATCATCAGCTATCGTGAAATGACCATCTTCATCCAATAGAACATCGGCGAGGTTTTTTAAGCAGAGTCTGCAGCACTCCACTAAACTCATGGTATTTAAATTTTAGGAAACTTTAGTAATTTGATAGCGATTTAACATGTTCTAAGAACTCGAATTCAAAGCGTTGAATTTCTCACCCAAAGTCTTGCCAAAAGTATTAAAAACAACAATATTCTGTCAAATTCCGAGCTAACTTGGCGTACAATAATAATGCACGCTATTTCAAAACTCCCCAAATTTGGGTATAGTCCACCCAGATCCGTCAAAACTGAACCTACCCAAAAATGGGTAAACTGTGTATGGAGTGACAAGTTGACAAAAAATGAACAACATTGACATTGACGAGTGCACGGATGAATTTGAGTTCACTCACTCGACAAAAAGTGACACAACAGCGGGGCCCTGTTTACTAAAAATGAACATATATGTGTTCATTTGTAGTAAACAGGGCCCCGCTGTTGTGTCACTTTTTGTCGAGTGAGTGAACTCAAATCCATCCGTGCACTCGTCAATTAAATGAACAACATTGACATCAATCCGATCGACGTTGTCAATTTGTCAACTTGTCACTCCCAACACAGTTCACATTTTTGGGTAGGTTCAGTTTTGACGGATCTGGGTGGATTCTACCCAAATTTGGGTATTTTTGAATCTCAGTCAGCGCCACCAGCATGTTCTACACGGAGATGAAAAACTACCCAAAATTAAGTACTTTTCCCTCAATTCTGGGGTTCAGCCCAATAACCCAAATTTGAGTAAATCGCATAAAGTAGTTTCCATTTAACACCAGCAAAAAAATTACCTACTCTTAAGTATAGTCTACCCAAAATTAAGTTTAATTCACGTAAATTTGAGAATATGCAATTTACTCAAAAGTAACTTATTGGGCTGAACTATATCGTTGGGTCGAATCTCTCGTTCCTTTTTGGACAACAATAACGAGTGCACGTGAGAGGCTGAAGTCAATATTAAGTAAAAAGAACTCAAATTTTGGGTAGTATTTCTTCTCCGTGTAAGTCATAACATCTCTGATCACACTTTCCGTCGGGAAGTAAAGCCGTTGGTCCCCGGTTGAGTTGATGCGTCGATTGGTAGGGTCCAGGTGTGGAAGCTACCTCCCTGACGTCAGTAGCATTGGAGCTCAGTATACGGAAAACAAATCTCGCGTCACTTTTCAATAGGTCCTATCTACATTGATCGATTCTTTTCATCGACACTCTCTTTCGTAAATAACTCGGCTTCACAAATGTTTCCTAGATTGTTGCTTCTTCCATCGAAAATATCCGGCCGTGCCGATTCAAAGTTGATCAAGGTTGATCAAAATAATTTGTACCCCTGCTTCCAGTTTGATTACATGAGCATTTTGTGTGGTCGTTGGTTCTGAATATGGACAAACAGGCAGATGAATTCTATTCCTACTCTTTACTGTAATAAGCTTGGTGGCCCTGAAAAGAGCCGTTTTGTTGCCAAAGTTGGTGATGATTCCTCCGAAACCAAACAGAGTGCGTTTCTGTCACTTCAAAACGTAGATGACATCCATGGCCGCTTACGCTTGGCGTGTTTAGTGTAGGTGACAGCATCATGGATCTCATTTTTCAGGCACACCTTCAGCACACCTCGTAAATCAGACCGGAGATACGTCAGACACCGCCACGGCGAGCCAGACGACGGATGGTGGTTATCTCGAAGAATTTGCGTTTGTTTCTGAATATGGCGATGAGTGTGCAAAATATTACGGAATTCCATCCTCCCTATTCGCACGCGCCCAAGGATCGGAGGCGAATGCCACTTCGACTTGTTTCGTCTACTTACTACTCTCTGACAACTGTGCTGCGGAAGCAGCATATGCATGTAGGTAATTGGTGGATTTGTTAGTTAATTCGACGCTTTTGGACAATGCTGGACATTTACCAGTTTTTCAATAGTTCCTTGATGAAAATCAACATTCAGAAGCATTGTTATCGTTGCGTAGCCATATTTCTTATCGATTGGTGATAAAATTATTGAAATTGGACCAGGGGCAGCTGAGTTATTAACGTTCAAAATCTTTCTTAATTTGTTACATGTGTACCCCCATATAGAAATCAAAGACGTAGTCCTACGTCAAAAGTGAATAATTCAGTGCCAACATTTCAAAGGGGCGTAATTGCATTTGTAAACAATGGCTTTAGCCGTCGATTTCTCACGAATAACAGCTCACTCATGAAAAATAATGACACCAGCAGGTAGATGAATGTTTCCTCTACCAGCTAGCATTGTTATTTTGGAGAGGTAAGATTTCATTCGCGAGAAATTGACGGCTAAAGTCATTGTTTACAAAAGCAATTACGCCCCTTTGAAATGTTGGCACTGAATTGTCTGAAATATTACACCCTCCCTTTTGAGGTTGACGTTATATTTGAACGAACCCTCACTGTTTTCATTAATTTATCAACAGAGCACGTTCACAACTTTTTAACAAAATGAACTCAACTCAACTGCTGGAGCAACAATAGAAAAGGGCCCATCAGCATTTGTTAACAAAAGTTTTGTAAACCTTTTCCCCACAAAGCGTAGGCAGCCCACCCAAAATGAGTAAACTTAGTGGGGGTTGACAAGTTGACAAATGATCAACATCGATCGGATTCCAGTCTAACTTAGTTTACTGATTTTTGAGTAGGTTCACTTATGACCGATATGAGTAGATCCTTCTTAAATTTGGGGAGTTTTGAAATAGCGTGTACTGTACAAACAAAACAACAGTGTGAATTAAAAGCTAATCAATAAAAAAAAATTCGTGTTTAATACTCATATTGAAATTGTCTTGATCTAAATATTTATCCATTTCCATCATGAGTTCCTCTTCGGCGGCCACTACTCCAACAAAGCAAGTGAAAACCGACAGTTGGATGGATGATGTTTTGCGTACGAATACAGGTTCTAATAAGTATGAAAATTTCATTATTCACAACTCCTATGCAATGATCTGAATCTTACTGCAATGTTTTTCAGGAGTGGTAAAAATTACTCCAACCTGTTGGAAATGTAAGTATTCTATTCTAGAAGTAAAATCTTTTCCAACCAATATTGAAAAAAAAAATAAACAACTAAAACGCAGGGAAAGATTCGGCAATACGAATTTCTCGATGGAGGAGTCCAATACCGTTGAGTACAACCCAGACGACATTCCAATGCTACCAGATGCAGATGAGCTTCAAGAAAGCCTTCTTTACAATGAGTCCCCTAATTTACCATCGTATGTTTGTTTTGTCTATCAGAATTTGAATTCTCTATCCAAACGTGTTTATGCGTTTTATTTTTCAGAGTTACAACGTATAAACAGCTTGGTTCCGATATATTTCCACACGGCAAGTCCCCATTGGGAAATTTGGATGAGATCGACATATCGATTCTTACGGAGTGCCTGGAAAATGAAGAGGATATTGAAGAACCTGACGAACCATGGATATGGGATCAGCTTTTTGCTCAGCTTTCGGTGAAAATAAGCACCGAGGCAAAAGCAACACCAGTAGAGTATAAGAACTAAATGCATTTATTTTAGACCCAAGGGCGTTTCGCATTTGATTTAATTATTAATATTACTGCTATCGATGATGTACAGCGTTTCCTCTTCCAGTTTCTGTAAACTCTCCGGTAGGAGCATATTTTCTTCGGCGTACGGTAGTATGTCGCAAATTTGCGACGATTCCACATTCAAAATATACTCACAAGGCCGAGGCTCGAGTAGGTATAGAGAAATGGAATTTGAACTGGCTGAATGTTCGGTGCATTTGAGCTTCACTTCGACCTGCCTTGGCTGTTGGGTTTTATCGCAAACGTCGCCCCCGCTGTAGAAATTGCTCAGTTGATTTTCATTCTTACGTTTGTTCCGAATGGACGGATTCTTCTCTAGCCATTCCACATGTTTTTCCTTATTGAAGTAGCCAAGAAATATTGAAGTTTCGTCATGGAATTGACGAACCTGTTTTCCGTAGCACAATTCAAACTTCCACCAGCCTGAACCCTGAAATGTACGAATCAATAGTTGTCAATCAGTGTTTATAGCCTCTTAAATCAGTTAGTCCTCACCCCGGTCAAACAATAGGCACCATCCAAAAATTCCAGCAACGGCTTCAGTTCCTTCGACTTTCTTGCTTTCTTCGCGAATGAATCCATTGGACTGGTGTTGTCTTCCTCGCCAATTTCATTTTCTAACAGTCCTTTTCGACTGATGCTATCAACAATTGGTACGTCATTCGAAAACAGTTCAACCTTAATTGGCCCATCCTGCAAGAAAAGCAACACTGACATGAACCTATGCTGTTTCACTGTTCAATAACAAAGCCACAACCATTTAAGAACGAAAATACCAAATAAAAATAAATATAACAAACCTCGTCGAAATTAATGACTGCAATAGCGTCTTTAATGTTTTTATGCACGTCCTAAAGTGAGGGAAAAGGAAGTAAACTAAATATAAAACCAAGAAACAAAAGAACTACTACTAAACCAAGAGAACCAAAATGCCAAGCAAGTATGTACAAACCAAACCAACCGAAGGTAGACAAAACTGAAACAAATGCTCATACCGTAAGTTTTTGGTATTTAATCTTCATACTCTCGATTTCCATCATCAGCAAGTTTTTCGGCTTCTTTGGAGAATTGCCCAATGGGTAACAGTTGACTTTGTTCTCTTCGTTATCCTGAGGCTTGTACTTCGGATGGGCACACAACATTGGCGTTAAAATGATAACTTCGTAATTGCATGTGGACGTCTCCTTCAGAGAATAGACTTCGTTCTTTCCGTGCAGATAGCACACGTAAAGTACTTTCGTAACTCGTGGTTCTCCGTTGAGGTCGCAAACGGTACCGGAGTCCATGTCCAGTTCCAAATAAGGCAAATTCAATCCGTCGATTTTCTTGTACTTTAGTTTTTCTTCTTCTGACCCAGATTTGTCGTACAGAGCTTCCAGATTGGCCGTTTTCTGCTTGTCCCATCTACCCAGATAGTATTCTTGTAATTTGCTTGTCTTTTCGTGCCGCTCCTCATGGTACTGCTTGATGTAATTGCCATGACAAACCTCGTAGGTCCAATAGCTCTCGATTCTGTACGAACAGGAGTGGGTGAATAGCGGAATGAGTAGATCGATCGGACTCGGACCACTGTATTGGACTTCTCCGTCAGTTTCTTTAGTTGCAATGGAGGGAATTATGCATTTGTATTTTTCCTTGTTTGTGGTCGCCACGATAATCTCTTCGTCTCCGATAGCGTTGGTCTAGGAGAGATTGGTTGATAATACCGATATAATTTTGACCTTAGAAAGTAAACAACTTACCAGCAATTCATCCTTGCCGTGCCAGGCGAGCGTGTGCAGCACAGTATCGTCGAAGCCTTTCAGATCGTGAGCACTAACATAACCCGCCAGCAGGAGAACTGCCAAGGAGCAAAAAACCTTGAATTTCATATCAAGTTCTGATGAGTCAAGATTACTATTTTTTCATGGAACTAAAATCTTCTGCAAATCCGTGGTTTCGAGTGATTGATTCTCTCAGCCAGCAGTTTTCTGATACGTGTTGTTATCAATCAGTTGAAGCTGTCAAGCAGTGCTCACAGTGACAGCTTTGACAGATTATAGAAGGGATCCGTTCTCGAATGAATGTTGCATACAAGGTAGCACTTTTTGATACCTATATGCCCCGAAATGTCAGTTCAAATGTTTACATCCAAATCGGATCCGAATTCCACCGCATTATATTATCAGTCAGATAGAGCAACTGCTCTGCAGAAAATAGGGATTATAAATAAGTGATTGAAAGCTGCAAACACAATGTGCAGTTAGTAGATTAAGTCGACAGATTAATTCTAAATGTTGAATAAACCTTGTACGCCATGAAATGCATGTAACTCACATGGTGCCTGTCATGAACTAACTGTTAAAATATAATTGAAACCTTTTGGAAGTGCAATGATCGTACATAAATCGATGTATATACGCTTTTTAGCCATTATTGCATTAGCAGCGATTGGAATCATATTGATGATCTCAAGTCTTCCCATATCTGGTAAGTTAGCTAGCATCCCTCGGCAATTTCACTGGATTGTCATTGTCGCTTATATTTTTAATTGCAGATACGTGCAAATGTGAGAATCCAGTGGATCGAGATGTACAGCATGAAAAATTTCATAGCAGTTTCAAGGAGCTGCATCCTTCGGACAAGCAAAAGTTAGCAATTTTAGTACCATTCCGAGATAGATTCGACGAGCTCCTACGGTTTGCGCCTCACATGTCTGCTTTCTTAAACCGGCAACTGGTTCCGTTTCACATTTTTGTACTAAACCAGAACGACCGATATCGTTTCAATCGAGCATCGTTAATAAACGCCGGGTTTTTACTGGTGAAAGATCATTATGAATATATTGCTATGCATGACGTTGATTTACTGCCGTTAAATAATAATCTTAAATATGAGTACCCTGCGGAGGGACCGCTGCATATCTCCGGTCCGGAATTTCACCCGAAATACCACTATGCAACGTTTATCGGAGGGATTTTGTTGCTAAAAGTAGAACACTATCAAATGCTCAATGGAATGTCCAACAGATATTGGGGTTGGGGTCTTGAAGATGACGAATTTTACGTACGCATCAAGGAAGCTGGCTTGGAGGTGTTCCGACCGCGAAACATTACTACCGGATCTGAGAACACCTTTTTGTACGTAACAATGGTGTTTTGTTATTTTTCTATAGCATAGCACTAATCTAAAATGGCCTTTACAGACATGTCCACGACCGTTTGCATCGTCGGCGAGACACGGCAAAATGTTTCAATCAACGAGAAGTGACACGCCGGAGGGATCGTGACACAGGACTAAATACGCTTCGATATAGTCTGGACAGCCGTAGAGAGTTAACTATTGACGGTGTCGCAGTAACGGTATTCAATATTAATCTAGAGTGTGATAAATCACAAACTCCTTGGTGTGAGTGTGACAGTAAAGTAGAAGCAAAATCTCGTTTAGATAGTAAAACAAAAACTTGAATTTCTTGCCATAATGTACATATAGAGAATGAAATGTTGAATAACTAATGTTCTTAGTTGGACTTTTTTTTAGATATTCTTTCGCAATAAAGAGGCATTTTTAATTGTCGCATTTGTCTATTTTTTACCAATTCATGTTCTACAAGATTATACAATTAATTATTTGAGCAGAGTCCAAACAAAAATTGCGCAGCCACACTGCACAATAGTTTGCTTCATACCGAAAAGCGGGGCGATTTCACGTAGGTTCCTAAATTCGTTCGCAAATTCAGTATTTTTTGAGGAAAAATAGCATTTTCCAGTACCTAAATGTATCACAATGAACGAAATTAAGTGCCCACGCAAAATTGAGACTCTTTGCTAAACGGCTTCGTAAAATAACAAATAAATAACAGTCAACATTAATTTAGCTACTCTCCTACATAGAAGACAGAAAGAAAAAATAAATTACAAACATCGTGTTTTAGAAGCAAAGGTTTATAGGTTCCCCGTTTCATGCAAGATTAAAAGATGCAATGTTGCTACAGTTGTATTTTTACTTGAGTTAAAAATTGCAAACCAATCAGTTCTACACCAATCTTCTCTTCGGTATATTGTTAGCCACACCGGTGTTCAATGTAACGAGATGAGTGTTAACGGTTTATCACCGTTCCTATTTTTACCATTATTTTAATATCGTTGCTGATTCGTAGGCAGTACACTCGACTACATATTTAATTCCATTAGACTTGCACCGCAGAAAGTTTCAGCTTCTTGGGGACGACCTATTAGTAAAAAAAAAAACGTATGTGGCTGTTAGGGGTAGTTCAATTCGCAATAATAATTTATAGTAAGAATATAATGAACTGATGACTATGTATAAGGGACATGCAAAAGCATTAGAAAACAGATAACTTCAGTCTGGTCCTGAAAATCTAATTATCATGCAACGAAATTCAGCGTAACGTGGATGCAAAGAGCGTGCCTTATTTTCAATACCAGATTTAATCGACTAATAATAATATTAATAATAAAATAAGTGAATAATATATTAGAGAAAAATCTTATTTATTATACAAGAAAATGGTTTACAAAATGACGATAATAATTGATCCGTTCATTTCTATGTGCTGTATGTATGATCGGTACATGGTTTTATCGTTCATGCAAGAATCGAACAAATTGAGGCTGAAATCACGTGTAGTAGTTACCAAATAGTTTGTACGCTAGAATTGAACATGAGTGATCCTTGACGAGCAAAGTTCGAAATGCGTCTAAACCACATATTCGCGATCGCTGATAACTCGAATGCCATGCTCCGTAAAGACAAATTTTATCATATCGTCGTAGCTTTTCGCGGGACTAATGCGTCCAGCGGATGTACCACGATTCCTGTCTTTGCTTGATTCTACGTGAATATTCGTTTCATTTGAAGCAGCAGTGGTGATTGATGCGTTACTTTGAATACGAGGAATTTCCAGTTCGGTAACACAAAGCTTCAAATCCTTAGGTTTTTTAGAATCTTCTAGCGTGCTTTTGCCTGTGCTGTTGTGTAAATTGAGATCGCTTTGTGCATCTTGTGCCGTAGTGTTACCTTTAGTGCAAGTTTCGTATTTCTTTGTGCTTGTTGGTATTGTACTTTTGTTGTCACATACCTTGCCATCTGCTGTGTGATGAGCGATGGAACCTACTCCCGAATCAGACACAACTGATGATGCATTAGAAGTAGCTGCTGATGTTGTCGTTGTTGTTATTATCTGAACAGCACTTCCAGGGTGGGTCAGAAATCCTCTCGCATTTCTGGTTGCTGTTTTTGCATTGTTTTCCGTTCCACAACAGAAAACACGATTCAAAGTATTTTGCGGAAAATCAGTTTCATCCATCGATTCCAATGTGCTAAACGTGTTTAACTCGTTTCGACTCTCAACATAATCGTCATTATCGTTGATGGGAGGGACAGGCGATATGCTCATCATTTCCCCGCTCGTACTAACAGGCAAAATGTACTTACTGATGGAAATCCACAAACGCACAGACATGTGAAAATGAATGAATTCAATGTGTTAGTACAGCAGCTGATCTGTTGATTAATTGTTCACTGCACAAATTAATGAAACCATTATGAATGCATCCTAAAGTGATAATAACAGTTTGAATAATTCAATAAAACTTACGTATCATTGGTGCCATACAAGCCATTCTTTTTTATGTATTCAATCAAATAATCATCCAGTAAATATTTGACTGACAATCCTCGATTGAGCAAACGGCGCACTAGTGTTGAACTGACGTCGTTTGTAATCCAGTTCGTGACGATTGTAATGTTTCTCTGCAATAGATACATTTTTTTTTTTGTAAATACATAATTGAACCAAGGCTGCAAAGGCAACACTATTGCGCTAACCCTGTATCTGCTCAGTAAATCAGAATTAAAAATAAACTGCTCCGCATTTGCTCCGGCACGAGATACAACCACTATTCCATGTTGACCAACGATCGCTTCTATGTCTTCGTCTTTCCACAGACCAGGCGTAGCAAAGGATTCAAGCAAATCCGCCCCACAAAGCAGCTTCATCTGGACATGTCCAGCAGTCTTTTTCAACCCTTCTGGGATCCATGATGGAATATGTTGATCATTTCTATTATTCGAGTCTTTCAGATATGAATTTACAAAGTTCTGAAATAGAACGTATATAATTAGTAACAGAAACACTTACTGCAACGCCACGTGAAACCTGATGATACTGCAAGGTAAGTCGTGTCCTAGTCCATTCTTCTTGTTGTGTTTCCCATTCCGACAGCCGGATCCAATCTGACGATTGCAGTCCAATCTTGATCATAGTGCAACGGTGCGTTGCAGTAACTAGTCCATTTTTACCGTAAGAATCATGTACCGGGGAAATGACTCCGCCAACTACATTTGCTGTTCCCATCTGCTCAAAATGATCCCGAGCGATTTCTACGTTTCAAAAATACAATTAGTATCGTTATAGGTATGTATATTGACGATTAATTGCACAACTCACCAAACATCCGAAAATGCATCGGCGTTGGAGGGCTGAACGAACCACATGCTATAAGCATAATTTTCGTTGGAGATGTCATCCTCATTTGTGCAAGCTACTTTTTATTCACTGCTATGTACAATAATACGAGCTTTTTTCTGCTCAAAATATGGGCTATACTTGTAATTTTGGTAAAAAATATTTAGCTCAACCTAAACACTTCACTATTAGTCATGTCCTTCAAATTTTTCGCGACATCGATAAATGTTTTGACAGTCAGTTCTGAGCCGCTGTTTACGTTTCATAACTAGGGTTGGCGGCTGTTTTTATGCATGGAAACTTATCGAGTCGGCGGCTAATTTCACGTTAGGGACGAATCAAATATGACGTTCACTCAAAAATATAGCTAAACATTGATAGATTAAAATTTATTCATTTCAGTGTCAACATTTCAAAGGGGCGTAATTGCTTTTGTAAACAATGGCTTTAACTGTCGATTTCTCGCGAATAAAAGCTCACACGGGAAAGTCAATGACT